GTGTGTGTGTGTGTGTGTGTGTGTGTGTGTGTGTGTGTGTTAGAAAACCAAACCAAAGCAGATCCGGGATCCAATGCAAGGCCATAGCTTTAGGCAGCTTTGAAAAGTGGTACAAGAACTGTGTGCCTTTGTGTCCATCCTGGAGCCAGCAAACAACTTTATTTTAAGCTCCTAGAAGCATCCCTCTGGCCCAGGAGTACAGACCGCAGCTACGGCCCTGTCTGTCGCTATTCCTTCTCTCTCCCTATCTCTTGGGCCCCGGGGTCAGACTTTGTCCTTGCTCACATATATTCATGACCTTCAATTTCACTCTCCGACCACGGTACGTTCATAAAGACAGTATTACACGTAAATGAAGTATTGTTTTTTGTAATCTTTTTTTGGAAGTTTAAAGAATTTAATAAATGATAGATAATGGTAGTGCCTCTGTGTCTTTGTTAGTTTGTGCTGTTCTTTTTGTTTAATTTTATTATTGTGTGGTGCTGGGTGTGGACCACACATTCTCATGCATGTTAAGCAAGTGCTCTAGCACTGAGCTACACCCCTAGCCCATCATTGTACTAATTTTTAAAGCTATTTCAACATAGAGCTGGGCGCAGTGGCTCACGCCTGTAATCCTAGCTACTCAGGAGGCAGAAATGAGGAGGATTGTGGTTTGAAGCCAGCCTGGGCAAATAGTTCTCTACCTTGAAAATATCCAACAAAAAAAATAGGGCTGGTGGAGTGGCTCAAGTGTTAAGAGTGCCTGCTTGGCAAGTATGAGGCCCTGAATTCAAACCCCAGTACCACAAAAATAAAAAAATAGTGTTCACTGGGCATGGTGGTACATGTCTGTAATCCACAGGGAGATGGAGGTAGGTGAGTCCATGTGTGAGGCTGGCCCAGGGCAAAAGCCAGACCTTGTCTGAGAAATAAAGCAAAACAGGCTGGGGTGTGGTAGAGCGCCTGCCTAGCGAGCTCTAGGCCCGCCTGCAAAACCCTGGTACCACCCAAATAGTAATGGCTCTCTTTAGTCTGGCGCTGTGGCTCAATGGTGGAGTGCATGCTTAGCATGTGTGAAACCCTGGTTTCCATCTCCATCACCAAAGGGGGAAAACTTTCAAAATGAACTTATTTCTCAACTATGCGGGGTGCCGGTGACTCATGCCTACTTGGGAGGCTGCGATCAGGAGGATTGTTTGAGGCCAGTCCTGGACAAATAGTTTGAGAGACCCTACAGCTCAAAAATACCCAAAACGCTCAAGTGGTGGATTGCCTGCCTAGCAAGTGTGAGGCTCTGAGTTCAAACTCCAGTACCACCACCACCAAAAAAACCCAAAAAGACTATTACAATAAACTCTTTTATACTCTGCTTTGGAGGAACACTGTTCAGGACCGTAACTACTAACCATGTGAAACTTTCTATTTAAATGTGGATGAATTGTAACTATTAGTAGCCACACATGACTGATGGCTACCCTTGTTACAAAAAGTTCTATTTACACAAACTGTGCAAATAAATCTTACTGATTTTTTTCACCATAACAAAATAGAGATTGAGCATTTGAAATCCAAAACTCTTGAAAAATCTACAATTTTTTGATGGCCCACATGAGGACAGAGTGGAAAATTTCAGAACTGACCTCATGGGATGGGTCAAAGTCAACACACGGGTTTGCTAAAAATATATCAAGTTACCTTTGGGCTCTGTGTACAAGGTGTGTCTGAAACATAAGTGAATTTTGTGTTTAGTCTTAGGTCCTATCCCCAAAATAACTCTTGTATATAGAAATACCTGAAAATCTTCCTTCCCCAAAAAGTCCTAAATCCAAATATTTTGGATAAAGGATTTTCAAAGTATAATTTATGGTGATTGTAAAACAATACAGAGTATATCAAAGTCCTGGACACCAGTGTCCCATTCAGCAGAAGTGCCATTGAGGGCTGGTGTGGCTCACCAGCAAAGTGTTTGCCTAGCCTGTACAAGGCCCTGGGTTCCAGCACTGCAAAAGAAAAAAAAAATGTCATTGTGAACGGTTTGGAGCATCTCCTGCTGAATCTTTTTCCAATACCTTTGGTCTTTTAAAAAAAAATTATTGTTTACTGTTTTAAATGCATGCCTTTTTGCACAAATGGTATATAAAAGCATTCAGGGGCCTGGCTTTGCTAACTGGTCCCCTGCAGTGGGACAGGAAGTGGAGTGTCTGGCTCCCAGCAGCCCTCCAACCCTGCCACCCCTTCTACTAACCATGATGTGATCTGACCTCTCCCCGGATGTCTCAACTTCCTTTGTCTCTCCCCTGTGCTGTTGAGCCCAGAGAGAGATCCTGGGTATTTTTCAGGCGTTTCTGGAAGTCCCAGACATTGAATGGTAAGGAGTGTGATTCCAAGCGGGAGATCCTTGGCTCTTGACAGTTTTTGAGGAGGTTGTGAGCCAAGAAGGGGCCTTTAGGAAATAAAAAATGGTTTCTCAGTTTTCTCATAAAGCAATTGCCAGAACTATTTTATCATATCTGTCTTCTTGTACAGCTCATGCTGAAGACCCAGTCTCCCTGTACTGTTATAGGAGGGTCAGCTATCCTGATTTTTTTCTTTTCCTGGTGGGACTGGGATTTGAATGAGGGCTTCACACTTGCAAAGCAGGCATGCTACCACTTGAGCCACACCTCCAGTCCATTTTTGCTCTGGTTAGTTTGGAGATGGAGGTCTATTTGCCAGGGCTAGTCTCAAGCCTCAATCTTCCTGATTTTAGCCTCCTGAGTAGCTAGGATTACAGGTATGAGCCACCACACTGGCTATATTTCTAATTTTTAAGGAATCTCCATTTTCTGTCCTCATCTACTGTGTGTAAGGGTTTCAATTTAACCATGTCCTCATCAGCCCATTAGTTTTTGAGTCTTCAGCATTTTCGTTTCTTTGTTTTGGAGAGCTGCCATCCTAATGACTGGGAAGTGGATCTCACTTTGCTCTTGGGGAAGGGCAGAGGTGGGTGGCCCTTTTTGACAGGAGCATTTATATCTGTCGGGCTCTGGTTGCTCAATGTCACATGGCATATCTGCTGGACAACCAGCCCCAGCTGATAAGAGAAGGCTATCTTTAGCTCCAGGATTTAGAAAGAAAGGTTAAGGTCATGAGTGAACTGCACAGCCAGAAATCGAATCCAAGTTCTAACCCCCCCACCCCCCCTCCACCCCCGCCCAAGTGCTGGGGGTGGAATCTGGGGCCTTGCCCATGACCTGGGAAAGCACTCTACCACTGAGCCACCCAAGGTTGCATCCTCCTCTTTTCCCCGAGAACTGTTAGGTAATTCACTGTGGTTAGGCCCAGAAAAGGCATGTGTCCCGCCAGAGTCACACAGCTGCCAATGACAGATAGTAATGCCAGCCTTGTGAGCTCAGCCCTGGCAGTGAGATCTGGCCACACCTGTGGACACCAGTCTTCCTGTGGGAAAAAGCTAAGGTGGCCTCATTTCCATAGGTGCTACTGAGGCCAGATGGATAGAGGAGGAGACAGGGAAATTATATTTTTAATAAACATTGAAATCACCACACTCAGAAGTTAGAATCAGAAAGTAAACTGGAAAAAATTTTAAAAAGCAGCAAGAATCCTTGATTGGTTAGAGGGACAGAAAAATGGCATGTCCAGCCAAAGGAAGTCCTGTTGTCCCTGTGTTTTGGGTGGGCCTGGATCACATCTCTATGTTGTAAATCAGTAGCACCCTTCTTGCTGTATGATAACACCTGTAGGTCACCTAACTGAATACCAGTATCATCTTCAGTTAATCCTCACGCCAACCCTGAGGGCAGCACTGTTGGACTGCAGAGGAAAGTAAGGCACAGAGGAGTAGTCCAGGGTAACACAGCTAGGAAAGGGCAAAACTGGGATTGGAATCCCAGAAATCTGGCTGCAGACTTAACTTTGTTAATACAATCTATTAGTTATGTCTGTCTGTGTATCCCAAGCACACGCTGTAGAACGTCCCATAAAACACAGTTCAGTGCTTCGTCCCTAGAACCTCGCCGCGCACGCAGCTGGCACCAGGTTTTGGGAGAAATACATTGGCTTGTTGCTCAAATCTTTCCAGCCTGCGCAGGCGCAATAGGCCGGTCTCGCGGCGCCGTCCCTTCCCTCCGCCGATTGGTCATTGAAGATGATTGATAGAGGAACTGGCGCTTGTGCACCAGGAGAGACCCGAAGCTACCGCCCCTATTCTGAGACGTCCCCTCCCCTCCCCGCGCCTATTGGGCACTGCTGACTGACGGAGAAGTTAGCCAATAAAAACTACGTCTCCGGAAAGGGGGCGTGCCTCACTTGCAGTCAAATTTGCGCGGGTTTGCCCTGGCGTAGTCATGGCGGCCTTCCGCGATATTGAGGAGGTGAGCCAGGGGCTGCTGAGCCTGTTGGGCGTCAACCGCGCCGAGGCACAACAGCGGCGGCTGCTGGGTCGCCACGAACAGGTGTTGGAGCGGCTTCTGGAGACGCAAGACGGCGCCGAGCAGCGGCTGCGAGGTGAGGGCCGGACAGAGGGCGCGGGGAGGCAGGGGCCGGGGACTGCGTGCTGGAACGAGGTGGCCAGGCCAGCTTCGAAACCTTCTTCCTCCCGGGCTCCCTTGTCCCCTTGCTCTTTTCCCCCACGAGATCGCTGAGGGGAGTGGGAGGGGCTGCCACCCTTGGGCCTCACTCATTCGTGAAATGGGTTAGGGTCCCAGGGGTTTAGCAGTAAATATAGGAGCTTGCAGGGTCTGACGCCTTATGAGCGCATCTTTAGCAGGAGTTGGAGGATGCAGGGTTTGAACTGGGGCTCAAGAGTCAGCTCCAGCTTGGTATCCCAGCATCTCTCTTTTTAGTTGTGAGATTTGAGGTTTTCCCTCGCTGTCATCCATTGTGGCAATAGTTCACGCCTTTCTCGAAGTTGTTCGACTTTTTTATTTTATTTGTTTTTTGCAGCACTGGGGTTTGAACTCAGGGCCTCACTCTTGCTAGGCAGCTCTCTACCACTTGAGCCACGCCCCCAAGTCCAGTTCAGACGTTTGATGGAGCACGTGCTGTGACCCCAGAGAACAAAACAGGATCCCCTACAGGGGCCGACATTGCTGGGGAGGGGGGCAGGAGACAGGATAAACAAGAAAAATCTGTCAGTCATCAGGTCAAGGATATAGACTGGGTTGTGTGACTAAGGCTGGTGACATTTGAGAGAGGCCTGCACCCAGCCTCTCCTGCAGGTGGGAGGAGCTCGCCTGTCTGCAGCTTCTCTCCCCAAGCCTGGTTCTCCTCATCTGTGAAATGGGGCTGCTGGGAGCTGGCCTGATGCCAGGGTTCCATGTTACACAGTGCATGCAGAGCATGGTGCCCTGGACAAGTGGGGCCTGTCCTTGTCACTGTGCTTCTCCCTGACAGGGGTTTTTGTTTGTTTTGGGTTTTTTTTTTTTTTTTTTTTTGTGGTACTGGGGTTTGAACTCAGGCCCTTCACCTTGAGCCACTATACCAGCCCCTTTTTGTGATTTTCTTTTTTTTTTTTTTTCAAGATAGGGTCTCACAGATTATTTGCCTGGGCTGGCTTGGAACCGTGATCCTCCTGATCTCTGCTTCCTGAGTAGCTAGGATTACAGGCGTGCGCCACTGGCACCCGACTTTTGGATTTTTTGTTTTGTTTTGTTTTTTGTCTTTTCTTTTTTGGTGCTGGAATCAAACCCAGGGCCTCACACGTAGGTAAGTGCTCTATCACTGAGCTACATCCCAGCCCTGAAGTTGTTTTTTTAGGTGGGACTGGGGTTTGAACTCGGGGCTTCCTGCTTGCAAAGCAGCCACTCTACCACTTGAGCCACACCTCCAATCCATTTTGCTCTGGTTATTTTGGAGATTGGGTCTCATATTATTTACCCGGCTGGCCTGGAACCCTGATCCTCTTGATCTCAGCCTCCCAAGTGGCTGGGATTACAGGTGTGAGCCACTGTTTTGTTTTTTTTGAGACAGGGTCTCCCTGTGTAGCCCAAGCCTGCCTCTAACTTGAGACCCTCCTTCCTTTAAGTGCTGGGATTATAGGCTTGTGCCACCATGCCCCAGTTTGTGGGTTTTTTTCTTTTTCTTTTTTAAATACTACTAAAATTTTCTTTATTGTGGCAAAATAGAGGTAACAAGAGTTACCATGTTAGTGACTTTGAGGGTACAGTTCTGTGGCATTCTGCACGCTCCCATGGTTGTGTGGCCATCCCCATCATCTATCTCTAGAACATTCTCTTCTTCCCAAACTGAACCTCTGTTCCTAGTAAACCCTTCCCACCTCTCCTCCCCTAGCCCCCGGCACCCACCATTCTGTCTTCTGTCTTTCCGAACGTGAGAACTCTAGGAACCTCTTTTGAGTGAAACCACACCCCATTTGTCCTTTGGGGACTGGTAGCTCTCTGAGCAGAATGTCCTCAAGGCTTATCTGTGGTGTCTGTTGCATATCAGAATGTCCTTCCTCTGTCAGGCTGACTCATAGCCATTGTACGGATGACCTCATTGTGCTTACCACTCATATTTTCAATGAGTAAATGGTAAAGTTTTCAGTTTTATCATTTTTACCACTTTTTTTTGTGGGGGGGACAGTGTCTCATTATGTAGCCCAGGCTAGCCTCAAACTCTTCTCCCCTCCACCCCTTTTTTTTTATGTTGGGTTTTTTTGAGACAGGGTCTGGCAAACTCTTTGCCCAGGCTTGCTTCAAACCACAATCCTCCTGATCTCTGCCTCCTGAGTAGCTAGATTAGAGGTGTGAGCCTCCTGCTTCACAGGCATGCACCATTACACCCAGCCAATGGATATTTTGGGGTATTGTGAATAGTGCTGCCATAAATATGGCATGCATGTGCCTCTTCAAAGACCCTCCTGTTCAGTTCTTTTGTGTACGCACCCAAAAATGGAATTGCTGGATCCATTGGTAACACAGTGTTTAATTTTTTGAGGAACTGTCAGAGTTTCCTACAGAAACTTATGTGCTCAGAATTTTTAATGCCTTTTTGGGTTTTTTTGTGGTACTGGGGTTTGAACTCAAGGGCTTACACCTTGAGCCACTCCACCAGCTCTTTTTTGTGAAAAGTTTTTTGAGATAGGGTCTCACGAACCATTTGCCCAGACTGGCTTCAAACTGTGATCCTCCTGATCTCTGCCTCCTGAGTAGCTGGGATTACCAGAGTGAACCACAGGCACCCTGCTTTTAATTCCTTTTTACAGTTGTGTTTTACAAGGAGGCCTCTGAGTTGAAGCTTGAATCATCTATGCAGCTAGCCAAGGAATGGCTCAGGGAAACTGTTCCTTTGCACGTGCAAAGGTCCTGAGGTGAGTGAGAGTGAACTTGGAGATCTACAAGATAGGCATGGTTGAGATCATCACAGCTCTCAGAAGGCCAAGGCAGGAGGATGGAGAGGTCAAGCCCAGCCTGGGCTACATAACAAAACCCTATCTTAAAGTAAAGTAGAAGATAAAATCTTGCCAGGTCTTGTGAACTCTTAAAGACAGAACCTTTCTTCTCTCTCCTTCCTTTTTCCTCCCTCTTCTCTGCTTCCCCTTCCACTGAGTGACTCAGCCTAGCTGGGTTTTCAAACAGGGGATGAGTTTGGGGGCTGCCATGCTCTAAGTCAAATAGACCTGGTAGACATGCCAGCATGGAAGCTGTGTGCTTTCCCTCAAAGCCCAGGACCTCTTTGAGCCTCTGTTCTTCACTTCTGAAGTGATGGGAGAAGTTTCACCACTCCCCTTGGGACTGGGGACAGAGCTCAGTGGGAGAGCACTTGCCTAGCAAGCTTGAGCCCCTGGGCTCCATCCCCAGAATCCTTTAAAACAAGCAAACAAGCTGGGTGTGGAGGTTCACGCCTGCAATCCCAGCACTGGGGAGGCTTCGAGAGGAGGATCAAGAGTTCCAGGCCAGCCTGGAATAGTAAAAATTACTATTTAACTCATAGTAAAATAAAGAAATACAAAAAAAAAATAAAAAGCCAACAAAGAACAAGCCCAACTACAGACTTAAGCGGTAGAGCACCTGCTTTGCAAATGTGTAGCCCTGAGTTCAAGCCCTAGTCCTACCAAAAAATAAAATAAACATGGGGACCAGCAGCTCTTGGGTTATCCTGTGGCACTTAGCAAACTTCACTTAGGTAAACAGTGGCGCCTTATGATGCATGTCCATGGGAAGTTATCACCGGGGGACACAGACTGGGCTGGCCTTGGCAGGGTGGGCTGAGAATGGGGGGAAGGCTGTGTCTAGCCAGACCCTCAGCCATCCTAACAGGAAATCGGCAGGCACCGTGGGATACGGACAGCCCAAGAAATAGCAGCCTAAGCAAATTATTTAGAAAAGTGGGTGTCAGTGCCAGAGAAAACAGCTCCAAGTTGAAAGTGGCCCCTCCAGGATGTGGAAAGTTCTGGAGAGGGGTATGTCTGGGTTATGTTTACCTTTTCCACTCAGATGAAACATTAAAGTTTTCCAAAACTTCAACATAGGTCCTTTTGGAAGCATTTTAATCCTGGATTTCTTGTAGTTGGCAAGTTTCTGTGACTCTCTAGAAGGGACACAGTGGCCTTCTTAAGATGTTTTTGATCTTTTCGAATGTTTTGCTCAACATGCAGCTAATTCTGGTTTGTTCCAAGAGACTCAGGGAGAATGAAAGATGAGGAATGTATAAATCAAGCTGGGCGTGGTGGCAAACGCATGTAGTCCCAGCTACTTGGAAGGCTAAGGCAGGAGCATTTCTTGAGCCCAGGAGTTCCTCATAGCGAGACCCCTCCTCCACACAAAAAGATTCTAAAGGAGATCTGGGATCTGGGGATGTAGCTTAGTGGTAGAACTCCTGCCTAGCATGCTTGAAGCCCTGTTCAATCCCCAGCACTGGAGAAAAAAAAAAAAAAAGATAAAGCAGATGTGCTGGGGAGCCATGGTAGGTGCTTGAGCAGGCAAGTGACTTTGCATTTGGCCTCTGACACAGCCACTGGAGAGCAGAACAGATGGTCAGGTAGAAGACAAGGAGGCTCAGGACTGGACCACAGGGCTGCTCAGCATGATGGCTCATTGGATGTGAAAGTAGAACTCTAAGCTTCGCACCGTAAATAAGTTTTGGAGCAGAGTATGGTAGTACACGCCTGTAATCTCAGCAAATGGAGCTGCAGACTGGAAGTGGGGTGTTGTCTGTAGACTGGGGTGTGGGACATCCCTCTTCTCTGGGCCCTCCTGGGGAAGGGCAGACACGAGAGAGCCTGCTTCTCTCACTACAGAGACCCTGGCGGTAGAGAAGGAAGTGGCCCAAAGCCTTCTTGAGTGTAAGGAGCATGTGTGCCAGAGGGGCGTCGAGCTGGAGCAGCTGAAAGCCGAGCTCCAGAAGTCGGCCGAGGAGGACGCCCGCCTGCAGAGCAGCCTCCTATATCCTTACCCCAGCCTCCCTAGAACACGAGCGTGGCGAGGGCTGGGATGGCGAGGGCTGCGGCTCAGGCAGAGAGCTTGCTGAGCACGCACCAGGCCCTGGGTTCTAGTCCCAGTACTGCACCTGGTGACATGGGTGGTGGCGGCCTTCCATCCCCCCAAAGCCAGGATCCTTGACCTGCCGCACTCAGCTCACCAGGGAGCTGCAGGAGCTCAGGGAGATGGAGGCTGACCTGGAGAGACAGGAGAAAGAAGTTGACGAGGACACCACAGTCACCATCCCTTCCGCTGTGTAGGTTCTGTGGGCAGGGGCCTGAGGCTCTGCTGTGGGCTCAGCCGCACTGCTCTCAGTGAAGTCCAGGCTATGGCAACTTCTCTCCTCTTCCCCCACCTCCCCTCCCTTTTTTTTCTTCCTTTTCTTTAGGTATGTGGCCCAACTTTATCACCAAATTAGTAAAATTGAGTGGGATTATGAGTGCGAGCCCGGGATGATCACAGGCAGTATCCTTTTTTGGAGGAATCAGTGGGGATGTAAAACAGGTCAGCAGCTATGGAAAGCAGTGCAGTGAGTCCTCAAAAATTAGAATTACTAGGCTGGACACAGTTGCTCACGCCTGTAATCCCAGCTGTAATCAGATGGCCACAGGTAAGGATCACAGTCCAAGGTCAGCCCCTGGACAAAAGCATGAGACCTTACCTGAAAAATAACAAAGCAAAAAGGGCTGGTGGAGTGGCTCAAAAGGTAGAGCACCTGCCTAGCAAGTGTGGGGCCCTGAGTTAGAGCCCAGAACAGCCAAAAACCAAATAGAAGCACCTTAGCATCCAACAATTCCACTTCTGGGTATCACTCCCAATTGAAGTCAGTGTCTTGAAGAGGTATTTTGTATCATGTTCAAAGAAGGACTACGCTCAGTAACCAAAGGTGCGTGCAACCCAAGTGTCTCTGCACAGATGAGCAGACATGCATACTCCAGAATCTTCTTCAGCCTGAAAGGAGATAAGATTGCTGGGCATGGTGACACATGTCTGTAATCCCAGCACTTAGTGGGAGGCTGAGGCTGGAGGATTACAAGTTTGAGTCCCTGTCTCAAAAAGAAAAAAAAAAAAAGTAGCAAATTGGGCGGAGAGTATAGCTCAGTGGTAGAACACTTGCCTAGCATGTGGGAGGCCCTGAATTCCAAACCCAGTACTAAAAGACCACTTTTTAAGAATTAAAAACAAATTTGGGAGAAAAAAAGAAAAAATAAGGGCAGTGTCCTTTGCTCCGTGGACCGTTTTCCTTGCATCAGAGCCTCAGTCCATCACGGCCCCAGCGTGGCGCAGCCCATCCACCTGGACAGCACCCAGCTCTCCAAGCAGTTCGTCAGCGACTACCTGTGGAGCCTGGTGGACACCCGGTGGTAGCGGGGAGTCTCCATGCTGCGACATCCGTGCTGCGGGAACTGGCGCGGGGGTGGGGGTCGCACAGCGGAGGGATTAGTTTAAAGTGAATGTTTCTGTGTACATGGATTTTTACTGTCTCTTTTTCCCCTCCATTTTGGCCTGCGATCCTGGGCTGGCCTTGGTTAGGTAGCAACAGGGAACTAATTTAACTATACTGGGTTGCTGTGTGCCCCGCTTACGAATGACACCATAGTATAGGATGACAGGTTCCGAGTGTTTGTCTTTTGTAAAATTTTTTTTGGCAGCACTGGGGTTCGAACTCATGGCCTCACAGTTGCTAGGCAGCGGCTCTACCACTTGAGCCACTCCACCAGCCCATGAATTGCTTATTTTATTCATTTGTTTATTTTGCCCTGCCAGGAACGGAAGGCAGGACCTTGCTCATTGCTAGGTAAGTGCTCTACCACTGAGTTACCTCCCCAGCCCTTTAAGTTGTTTAAAATAAATGCAGTTACTGTGCTTTGATCAGAGAAAAGCTTTCTAGGCAACTGGAGCGGTAAGTCCTGGCAGCATCTAACCATGCCAAGTGGACACTGAGAATGATCATCAGGTGACCCTTGGGGGTCCTAGGGCCAGGAAGGTCTACCCAGAAAAGAGAGGTCCAGCCACGCCTGGTGGTACACACCTGTAATCCCAGCACTCACGAGGCAGAAACCAGAGGTTTGAAGCCACCCTGGGCAAAAAGTTACTGAGACCCCATCTCAACCAAAAAAGTCAGGCGTGATAGTGCATATCTGTAATCTCAGTTATGTGGGAGGATTGAAGTCTGAGGCTAACCTCGGGCAAAAAATCCAAAGAGCCTACCTGAAAAATAAAGCAAAAAGGGCTGGTGAAGTGGTTTAAGTGGTAGAGCACCTGCCTAGCAAGCTTGAGACCAAGTTCAAACTCCAGTGCTGAGATCAAACTCAGTGCCGACAAAATAAATAAATAATAAAAGAAACCCAGCCTCAGGCCATTTGATGGACAAACATTCCTAGCATTTTGGGGCCCTGCTGTGGAGCAGAGGCCTGGTGTTAGGGATTTGCTCAAGTGTTTGCCTCTGGCCTTCCAGGCTGTTTTCATTCCATAGCTGGTAGGTTCTTATCTTTTTTTGGCAGTGCTGGGGATGAAGCCCAGGGCCTTGCACGTGCCCAGCAAGTTCTCACCACTGAGCCACCCCCAGCAAGTCCAGAAACTTCCTTTATATGGTAAGCTGTGGAAGCAGGCCCTCTGCAGAATCAGCCTCCCAAGAGCAAAAGACTAGCCGGAGATGGTGTCCCCATCACAGCCCTAGCAACATCCGGGAGCCAGGTGACTTTGCCGTCGGGAGATGTTCTGGGACAGTTAGCATCCTTGCCCACCTCCTGGATGTCCTGCTCTGCCTTGACAACAGGAGAGGTCCTCAGACATTGCTGTGTCCCTGTGGGGAGACCACACATGGAGTAGCTGCTGTGGACTTGGTGGCATTCTTGCCAACCTGGGGCAGGCAGTTCACCCTGTGTCCAAACCCAGCCACGGCTTGGGCGTCCTGGGGCAGGTCTCGCTCTGGTGAGGCAAACAAACCCTCAGGCGCACAAAACCTGGGTGGGGGGAGGCAGGCACCTGTGATAAGGACCCAGGGAACCACAGGCCAGGGCTTGTCTGTGGCCCTGGGCCAGGTCAGCTCTCCTTCCACAGAGAATGGCCTTGCTGTGTTTAAGGAGGTGCGGCCTTCTGGCTGCCCCCTCTCTCCTCCCCGCAGCAGCCTAGGCCACGGTTTCCCCAAAGCGAAGATGGCTCCTTCAGGGAGGCAGCACCCAGGCTCACAGTGGCTGGCCTGTGGAGGGAGGAGGTGGGTGAGGAACAGGGCTGGTGGGGGCCAGCAGGGATTCAGGGAGAGGCCTGGAAAGGCCCTAGTGCTCGGGCATGCCTGGGCCCTGAGTCACTGCCCTGCACTGGCCAGCTGCCCAGGACAGCCTCAGGCCACAGCCTCCAGCCGATCCACCACCCCCAGCCTGGCTTATTTCCAAGAGCCACCCCGCCACCCTGCAGGTCCAGCAACTCCACAATTCTGGAGGCCAGATAGATGCTCGCTGAGCACTGGGCCTAGTTGTGCAGAGGCAGAAGCAAGAATTTTTTTTTTTTTTGGTAGTGGGACTTGAACTCAGGGCCTACACCTTGAGCCACTCCACCAGCCCTTTTTGTGTTAAGTATTTTGGAGATAGGGTCTCGAAAACTATTTGCCTGGGGCTGGCTTCGAGCCTTGATCCTGTTGATGTCTGCTTCCTGAGTAGCTAGGATGATAGGTGTGAGCCGCTGGCGCCCAGCCAGAAGCAAGATCTAAGTTGCCACAACCAGGAAACAGAACCAGGTCACCAGCACCATCCCAAGCCCATTTTACAGATTGGGGGACAGAGGCCTGGCACTGTCAGGCCACTTGCCTCATCATGGAACTGTGATGTGTGGGTTCCTAGTCTGAGGTTGGGCATATGAGCC